ACGGTTACCCCTGGGGTCCTTTTAACCTCAATCATCCTGTGTTTTAATCCTTTTGGAGGTATGCTTCCCCATTACCTCCCTCGCAGGCTCATTTCTAACATCATTACCTGATCCACTGCCTCCTCTTTCAAATGTCACCCTCCCCCAGTATAGGCTTTTTCTATTCACTGTCACCAGTCATTTCCTCAACAATCTGGTCCTCTTGCTGAGCTGGGGAGGGGGTAAGGCTTGCCCTACCCCATCAACTCTCAGCTTCACAGAGGTGGTTTTTCCTCCCATGTTTGCCCCCCCCAATCCAAATGTACAGGGCCAGTCTAAGGAGGAGGGTGGGCTGTGTAAAAATGGATCCCCTTCCCCAAAGGAGAGGTCTCCATCATGCCAGCCTCATGCACACACACACACACCTGCATTCACGGACATAAAACCAACCCAGTGACGCCAGATCCTTTCATCTCAGGATCTCCCAGCGCCAGGCAGAGCCCTAATTACCCCAGCACCCTCCCCCACCCCTCCGGTTCACCTGCTGTCATTAGCTCAGTTTTTACCAGTGGGGGCCATAGCCTTCCCACGGCTCCCAGGGCGGGGCCCTGTCTCCACTGTCTGCTCTTGGAGAGGTGTGTGTGTGTGTGTGTGTGTGTGTGTGTTAAGGGGAGCTGTTCTACCAGTTGCCCAGTTTGTACTGAATCACTTGTCAAATGTGGGGTTCTGACCAACAGCCTATCTGAATTGGGCTGCCCTTGGTCTTCTTAGTCTCAGCCACCTGCAACCTCAGCTCTGTTGGAGCCACTTCTTTTGGGGGTATTGGGGTTTGCAATGCATGGGAGAGGGGAGAGTGACTCTCTTGGGACCCCCTGGAATCAAGGGGATGAGAAATGCATGGGATGCAGAGTGGAGTGGTGGTGATTAGGGGTTTGCAGTGGGGGAAGGGAGCCTGCAGTGGGGAATTGGGGCTGCAGTGTGCAGTGTCAGCATGCAGTAAATGAACCTGTGGGTTCAGCCTGGGCTCACGGTGGACATGCAACAGCTGCAATATGGGGCAGGAAGCTGATCACGCAGGGTCAGGGCAGCATGCAGGGGGAGGTGCAGTGATGGTGGCTGTCTGCCAATCAATGCCACCTCCTCAGTGATCGGGTTTGGCTGATGGGGGGGGGCGCAGGGCAGGGCTGCGGTGTGCAGCACTTAGGGTGCAGGCTGTACCATGTATGGAGATAGTCCCCTGGGAGTGGGCTGCCCAAGGAGTTAGGCGGTACACAATCTCAGTACGTAAGATACATTTATGAGATGAGGTGCTGTGTCCTCTGCATCCATCAGCCAGAAGCAGGAGGCAGTGGAGAGGTCTAGCAGCAATCTGGATGGAGTCCAGAGCGAGAAGGTGAAAGTGCTATGGTTTTTGTCTCCCCTCCGTTCTGGCTTCCCAACCACATCTTTTTTTTTTTTTTTTTTTTTGTGGTATGCGGGCCTCCCACTGTTATGGCCTCTCCCGTTGTGGAGCACAGGCTCCGGACGCGCAGGCTCAGCGGCCATGGCTCACGGGCGCAGCCGCTCCGCGGCATGTGGGATCTCCCCGGACCGGGGCACGAACCCGTGTCCCCTGCGTCGGCAGGCAGACTCTCAACCACTGCGCCATCAGGGAAGCCCCCCACCACATCTTTTTGATGAAAGGCCCTAAAGTTATTGGATGAGGGAGACTTTTTGAAATCCTAGACCCAGAGCCATAGAAAATGAAGTGTCTCCTGATCCATCTTTTTTCCCCAGGGCCAGAGTGAGCATCTTGAACTCAAAGATGAAAGTTCACCATTCTTATCTTCTCCTTACCTCTCTCCCTTTCCTTGGCTCCAGATGTGGGCTGGTAACAGACCTGGGCAAGGACAAAATGAAGGGCATACTGCCTCCAAAGCAGGCATCTTGCCAGATGCCAGGATCCAGCCCAAGTCTGTGCTTATAGCCCCTGGCCCTGTGTTGCATCACTCCCGTTCCCACCGCACTCACCCTGCCTACCCCCATTTCTTGAAGCTTATAGCTCGCCTCATGGTCATTTCATCCCCAACTCATGTTCCCTCCTTGCCATGAAACCTCTACCGGGATGCTCCTACCATCCCCGCCACCCCTGCTTCAGCGCTGAGTCCAAGGGGAGAACAGAATGGTGGGGCATGAGTGAGGATGGATAGAGACCCCGCAAGGGGATACATCTGACGGCCCCCTCCCTCTTAGACTTTGGTTGCCAAGGAGGCAGTAAGAACAGCCTGTTCTCTGGGCTCCCATTGGAACAGCTATGCCCAGGCCCCTCCCTCTCTTCCTTCCCTTTCCTTCTCTCCCTCCCAGACTGTTGCTAGGAAGCACCCCAAGATTTCTCAAGGGTCCCACCCCTAGAAGCCAGGGGATCCAGATTGCTTTCTGAATAGCTTCCCCAAAAGCCTGGAAGCCAAGACCCCACAGAGCATTCTCCACCCCATGCCAAGAAGCCCCAAACAGTTTGGGGGAACAGGGGACAAGCCCTCTGCCAGCCTGTCCTGGAACTAGCTCAGTGGCCTGGGCCTCAGTAATTCCTCTCCCCATCTCATCTTGACCTCCTGGGCTCTGGGTGATGTCAGCAAGTGATGAGGTGTCCAGCAGACACCCCTTGACTCTGCAGACACAGCCCCACTTATTGGGGAGTTCTGGAAAGACTCTGGAAAGCAGAGGAAGCTGAGGTATCACCAACTAAGAGAACTTAAAACCCAGGTATTTCTCCCTCTTACCAATTTTTTAATCAAGAAAAGATGGTGGACATGGAGGAAAGAAAGGGGGGTCAGTTTATGGGAATTGGGGATTAAGTGGCTGGCAGAGATGAGAGACTGGGAAATTAGCAAACAATTGTCCTGCTAAGAGTAAAGTGGCCACTTAATGCCCCCCTATCAACCACATTTGTCCCATCACGTGCCCTGGTTATGGGTCACAAAAAAGAATCAGCGAAGGGACTCGGGCCTGGCTGAGCCTTGCGTTTGGTATCTGAGGATAGAAATGGAAAACCAAGTTGACACCTTCTCCAGGTTGTCTTTCAGAGTTTCTCCTACTTTTATTCATTCATTTGACACTTTTTTTTGAACATTTAATACATGCCAGGTATTGGATCCCCTAAACGTGCCCAGCTTCTGGTTTCTCTGCCGTGTGGATCCCCTTCGTCCTGCTTTGCCAGGAGGAGAGAGGAGGGGAGGGGTATGGGGCAGTCTCCTTTACCTACCACACTGCAGCCCTCCCCCTTCAGCTAAAGGAGAGGTGGGACAGGTTGATGTGGAGGCCAAGAGTACAGAGTGGCTCTCAGGGCCCGGAGGAAGGAGCAGCTGGCCTGTCCAGGATTCAGGATCACAGCACTCTTTTCTCCGTGCTGGAGGGTGTGGAGAGGGAAGGCATCCTTCAGGGTGTTAGGGAGGAAACAACTCCAAGGATTGGTTCAAATTCTGCCTTTCACTGTCCTGGCTTGTCTCTTTCTGGACCTTTCCTGGGGGCAGTGGGAAGACAGAGATGGAACTGTGGGCATCCAGGAGCTGTCCCTGGAACTACCTCGTAGCCTTCTCCCCCATCTTCCTCTTCCCCAGATAGACAGAGAGCAGGGATTCTGAGGTGGGGACTGGTGGGGGGAGGGAACTGGTTTGGAGCCAGCTGTGTATGAGTGTGTGGGAACAACTCTCTTTCTTTCCCACCCACCTGCTGCCAATTAACTCCCCTTAGTGGGGGGACCCAGGCAAGCATCCAAAGGAAAATGTTCCAGTTAGAGGAGGGGAAACGAGTCAGTTACCCTATAGAGAGAAGGGAAGATGAAACCCTTTGTGCGTTGTATGCTTACCAAGTATTTCAGTGTTTCTGGGTCTAGACTTGCCACTTTTCCTTATACTTCTTTACAGCCTAGGTGAGGAATGTTTCCATGTCCTTGGTTACCAAAACCCCAATTCCTCACAGCCTCTTACCCCACCCCAAGTCCTCACTCTGACCTAGTTCCTTTTCTGCTACTGCTCCAGTGTCGCCATGTCACTCTGCCTGGCTGGCTTCTATCTGCCCCTCTTCTCCAGCCAGACTCCTTCCCCAGCCAGACCAGGCAACAAGATGAAGAGCTTGGGGCTCAGGGCTAAGAGAGCAGAAGTGGGAGCCCAGTCTGTATCAGTGCTGAGGGAGAAGGAAAGGATAGCCAAGGAAAGTGGAATATGTAAGAGGGGCTGTGTGTGGGGTGGGTTTCCTTCTATACACAAAGGGGATGTTGGCATCTCTTCTCTCATCCACAGGAGTATTATCATGGAGTCCTGTCCTTGTGGAGGGCAAGCCAAGAGCTTGTGAGTCCTAGGAAGCTATTCTGGTCTGAAGGGAAGCAGTGGTGTACAGAAAGGCTGTCTCTGAAATTGACAGACTAGAGAGTCAGGCCAAAGTAGAGAAATTGGAAATAGCCCTTGCCCAGAACTAAGGAAGCCCTTTTAGGGAATTCCCTGGTGGTCCAGTGGTTAGGACTCCATGCTTTCACTGCCAAGGGCCCAGGTTCAATCCCTAGTTGGGGAACTAAGATCCCACAAGCCATGCGGCATGGCCAAAAAAATAATAATAATAAAAATAATAATAAGGGAGTCCTTTCACACCCTTAGAAGTCCAGTCCTTGGGGAAACCCTGCCAAGCCAAGAGAAAGGGCTGCTGGTGACAGGTGGGGGATAGGGAAGGCAGACTGTCTCACCACAGAAGCCACCTCCCTGCCACTGTAAAGTGGGGAGGAGGCGCCCCCCAGAGATCTGCCAGCTTCCTGAAAGAAGGGGATGATTTTTTTTTTTTTTGTGGTACGCGGGCCTCTCTCTGTTGTGGCCTCTCCCGTTGCAGAGCACAGGCTCCGGACACACAGGCTCAGCGGCCATAGCTCACAGGCCCAGCCGCTTCGCGGCATGTGGGATCTTCCCGGACCGGGGCACGAACTTGTGTCCCCTGCATCGGCAGGCGGACTCTCAACCACTGCGCCACCAGGGAAGCCCAGAAGGGGATGATTTGAGTTCAGACTATCACTATCCTCAGGGCCCAAACGTTCTCCACTCCCATGTGGACTGGACCAGATACCTACTAAGTCAGGAGCAGTAACAAACTTGACAGTTTTTCTGCAAGAGGGCAGTTTGGGCTCTGAGGGATGGGAAAGGAGCTGCAGGATCCAGGGTTGGGTCAAGGTGGGGAGCCCTAAGCTGCAGTAACAGCAAAGAGATGAGAGGAGGGAAGAGGCAAAGGTAGAGTGAGGGGCCTGGGAGAAGAAGGGGAGCCAGATATGTAAGGGACTGCTGAGAAAAAGGGTCTGTGGCTGTCTCCAGTATATGTGTGTGTGTGGGGTGGGGGGGAGTTTGGAGGTTAAGTGTGAGGAGTCTGGGCTCTCCCTCCTTCCTGCTTTGGAAGCTTTGGCTACACATATTTGGCAGCTGTTTTGTATAAACATAGTTTCCCCGTGGTGTCGCTTGGGCAGGCACTAAAGGGAGCAGAATGGAAGGGGTTGTGGTGGGTTATGGGGATGGAGGAAGGCCATAGGCAGTCATGACCTTAGAGGGATGTGATCTGGCTCTCCTCCAGGTACACTCTCCTCTTCAGAACAGGAGTTCTTGTCTCCCTGTTTCGACTATGCTCCAGATACCCAGGATCCTGTGATTCTCTGCCCTGAGGGCCTCATGTTTGCTTCCAGGGCCTTAGTGGACTGCTCTTCCAGAGTCATCCCTCTGAGAACTGATTTTGCCACTGAAAGTATGACCAAAGAATGGTTATTGGGAGATATGGATGGAGCTTGGACTCATGGATGGGGATATGAGGCTCCTTACAGTATGGGATGGGGGGCTGAAAATAGGGGTAGCAGGACACTGGCTGGAGGCTTCCATGTTGTTCTGGTTGTAAATGTTAGCGATGACCTGTCCACGGGACAGGACAGGGATGAGGCCTGTGTATAGGGAAGCTCAGATGAGGCCCAGATGTTGGAGTCAGAGGTGGGTAGCATTTGCTTTTGGCTTCTCACTGCAGGGAAGGGAGGAAGAAGGGCTAATACCCCAAACACTGGACATAATTATCTATGATATGGTTCCATAGGATAAAGCGAGACATTATATTGGTTTTAATAAACATTTCTTTAAAGAATAGTTTTAGATTTATAGGAAAAAATTTGAAGATAGTAGAGGGTCCTTATGTACCCCACACCCAACCCCCCGCCTTTAACCTCTTACATTAGTATGGTTCATGTTACAATTAATGAACCAATATTGATACATTTTTATTAACGAAAGTCCATGCTTTATTCAGATTGCTTAGTTTTCACCTAATGTTCTTCTGTTTCAGGATCACATTCAGGATACCAAGTTACATTTAGTCATTGTGTCTCCTTAGGTCCTCTTGACTGTAACAGTTTCTCAAACTTTCCTTATTTTCTATATCCTAAACCTCAGTTTCCTCCTTACGTCTCCCTGTAGTCAAGCAGTATTCTGGGCCAAGAGATTCTGAGAGGACTTCCAGATTTGGGGGTGAAGTAGTGGGTGAGGTGTGTACAACTGACAGAGACTCAGTGTCACTTCTGGAATACAGGTGTGGAAATGAGAAGAACTCAGGTAGATCCAGGGGTTTAGGAGAACAAAAGGAGGCCAGGAAAGGGAAAACCTATTGCTGAACGTATGCCACACCTTTGGTGTGCCTACTAACTACGGGTAATGGAAGGGTGTCGGAAAGTGATTTAAATGCTCGGTCGATAGTGACGTCACTGGACGATGCCTGATAAGCGGGAGACCTTTCGAGAGCCTTTCTCCCTAAGCCCCCCGAGTCTTTGGGATGCCTCAGCTCCTAGTAGTCTTTTCCTAAAGGAGAGAAACAATGCGAGCTGACCAGCTTCGTCTCTTGGGTTCCTCGCTTAGCTTCCTCGCTAGCGGAGTCCAAGGAACTACAACTCCCAGAAGACATCGTGGCACGAGCGGTCTCTTGCTGCATTCCTACTGGTTCATGTTTGTAACTCCCAGCCAATAGAAAATTAGCTCTTTGATAAGTGCCAAAATGGCGGTACCTAGGATCTAGGACTGGATTATCCGGTAGGCTTAAATTTGGGGAGGTGGTGGATGAAAAGGAAAGAGGGAATTATAGTTTTAGGGTTGGGGAAGGTGGAGGGAATGCGGGGGGGGGGGAATCTGGATTTGGGGTGGTAGTGGTTGAGGGACGCAGCCAGAGCTAAGGGCGTATTTAGGCAACCGGAACTGGCTTAACCCCTTGGTACCCATTTATTTTTCGTATTAAGCCCATTTGACACCCTCTTCTTAGTGCTCCAGTTTAGAGAAAGTTGATTCAGGAGGGAAAAACCCGACAGGATCCCTACTTTGCCCCTTTCTCCTTTTCCTCATTCTAGTTCTGCCTCCCTTTAATCTTCCTGTATCTTCTCCATTCCAGTCAACTCTGTGCTGCACCCCTTCCCCCCGCCCGCCGTTCTTTTCCTCAGAATCCCCTAGCCCCTTCTCTAGCTCGACTTCTCCCACCTCAAGGCTGACCGCCACTGGCCCCGCCTCCTCAGAGTAAAATCATGAAGGTGGTGAACCTGAAGCAAGCCATTCTGCAAGCTTGGAAGGAGCGATGGAGTGACTACCAGTGGGCAATCAACATGAAGAAATTCTTTCCCAAAGGAGCCACCTGGGACATTCTCAACCTAGCAGGTCTCAAGTGAAGTAGGAAGGAAGGATGGGAGGGCTAAACCCAGAATTGTTGTAACCACTCAGTCTTCCTTTGTTATTCCCCTTGCAGAAGCACTACTGGAGCAGGCCATGATTGGACCTTCCCCCAATCCTCTCATCCTGTCCTACCTGAAGTATGCCATTAGTTCCCAGGTAAACTCTTCCACCTATGCCAGAGAAGGAGGGTTTGAAGGTAAAAGACTTGGAATACAGTTGTCAGCTCACACTTTCTAGGTGAATTTGTTTGAACACATCATTTCTCTGAGCCTCAGTTTTCTTGTGAAAATAATAAGACTTCATTGGTTATGATGAATATTACATTAACTTATTCTATCAGTAAATATTCACAGGTGCTTGTATGTGCCAGACGGTGCCATAGGCTCTGGGGATTTAGCTGTGAACAAGGTCTAATCCAAGCACTCAAGGAGTATAGTGGGTAATCCAGTCATGTGAATAAGCAGTCAGTCACAGGATGGGACTATGATGTAGGCTCGGACAGAGTACTATGGGAGTACATAGGAGGGATACCTAATCCAGTCTGAGCAACCAGGTAGGAAGTGATGTTAAACCAAGATGTGAGTGTTGAGTGGGAGTTAGCCAGGCAGATTGATGAGTGTGTACAGAGCCGAGAAAAGCATATGCAACGGCTGGGAGACAGACCTCACATGATGTTTCGGAGCTGAAAATAATGTGGTGTGGCTAGAGTAGCAGTTTTGGTCTCAGGACATTTTGTATTCTTAAAAATTGAGTCTCCTACAGAGCTTTTGTTTAGATGTATTATATCTGTTCACATTTACCACTTTAAAGATGAAAGCTGAGAAATGTAAAAACTATGTATTTAAAAATAATAAAAAGTAAACCCATTATATATTAATATAAGTAAAATTTTAATGAAAAATAACCATATTTTACAAAACAAACAAACAAAATTAGTGAGGAAGGTGGCATTGTTTTACAGTTTTGCAAATCTCTTTAACTTTGACTTAATAGAATACAGCTGAATTCTCACAGCTGCTTCTGCATTCAGTTGTTGCAGTAGGCTGTTTCAGCTGAAGTATATGAAGGAAACATGGCCTCACACATCAGGTATTTAGTTTGAAAAGGGAAGGACATTTTAATAAGCCTTTCAGATAATTGTAGATATTCTTTGACATTACACTAAAGTTCAATAGGTGATGTGAAATCACATCAATGAACTTTTAACACTCTGTTACATTAAAATCCATTGGTCTCTCTCTTACGCTTTGAATAGATCTTTTACCCATGCCTGATTTTATAAATTGTGAATTGGTCATTTGGTAAATATCCATTACTAAGTTATATAGATATTCTAATTGTTGACACATTTAATTACATAGTGTCATCACATGTCATGGAGCCTCTGGGACATTCCACTGTACAATTGTGAGAGAATAAGAGTAAAAAACGGGGGCTTCCCTGGTGGTACAGTGGTTAAGAATCCACCTGCCAGTGCAGAGGACACGGCTTCAAGCCCTGGTCCAGGAAGATCCCACATGCCGTGGAGCAACCAAGCCCGTGAGCCCCAACTACTGAGCCTGCGCCCTAGAGCCCGCGAGCCACAACTGCTGAGCCTGTGTGCCACAACTACTGAAGCTCGCGCACCTAGAGCCCGTGCTCCGCAACAAGAGAAGCCACCGCAATGAGAAGCCCGCACACCTCAATGAAGAGTAACCCCCACTCGCTGCAACTAGAGAAAGCCTGAACACAGCTACAAAGACCCAACACAGCCAAAAATAAATAAATTTTTATAAACACACACACACACAAAGCATCCCATTGCTTTAAAAAAAAAAAAAGAGTAAAAAAGGCAAATGACATCTTAGTATTTTAAAAACAGTTTTGACCTCACAGATCCCCAGGGGCTCCTGGACCATATTTTGATAACTGCTGGGTTAGCACTTCAAGGAGGAGAATGGTTTAGAGAGAAAGGCAGAGGTTAAGTCATAAGTGACCTGTGGGTGATGGTAAGGAGTTTGGACTTTATCTTAGGGTGACGAATAATCATTTAAAGGGTTTTAAGTGGAGGAATAGTGTGATAGGATTTATATATATATATATATATATATGTATATATATACATATATATACTATTTAACGTGCAATAAAACGTACAGCTCTTAAGGTTAATTCATTGAGTTTTAGTAATTGTGTATACCCATGTCACTAACTTCCAAAATAAGATACAGAATGTTTCCATTCTCCCAGAAAGTTTCCTTGTACCCTTTTCTAGTCCATCTTTCCTTCTCTAGTCCACTAAGTGTTTTCTATCACCATAGATTACTATTGCCTATATTTGGATTTCATAGAAATGGACTCATATAGTATAAACTCTTAATGCTGTCTTTTTTTATTTAACATAAATGTTGCTGAGCTTTATGTTGTTGTGTATGTCAGTAGTTCATTCTTTTTTTTTTAATTAATTAATTAATTAATTTTTGGCTGCGTTGGGTCTTCGTTGCTGCGCGTGGGCTTTCTTTAGTTGGGGCGAGTGGGAACTACTCTTGGTTGTGGTGTGGTGGCCTCTCTTGTTGCGGAGCATGGGCTCTGGGTGCACGGGCTTCAGTAGTTGTGGCACGTGGGCTCAGTAGTTGTGGCTTGCAGGCTCTAGAGCACAGGCTCAGTAGTTGTGGCGCACAGGCTTAGTTGCTCCGTGGCATGTGGGATCTTCCCAGACCAGGGCTCAAACCCTTGTCCCCTGCATTGGCGGGCGGATTCTTAACCACTGTGCCACCAGGTAAGCCCTTCATTCTTTTTTTAAATTGCTGAGTAGGGACTTCCCTGGTGGTCCAGCAGTAAAGAATCCACCTTACAATGCAGGGGACACGGGTTTGATCCCTGGTCAGGGAACTAAGATCCCACAAGCTGCAGGGCAACTAAGCCCGCATGCCACAATTACTGAGCTCGCATGCCTCAACTAGAGAGCCTGTGTGCCGCAAACTACAGAGTCCACACTCTCTGGAACCTGCATGCCACAACTACTACAGAGCCCACGCGCCCTGGAGCCTGTGCGCCACAACTAAAGAGAAAACCCGCACGCCGCAACTAGAGAGAAGCACGCACACCCGCAACAAAAGATCTTGCATGCCTCAACAAGGATCCCGTGTGCCGCAACTAAGACCCAACGCAGCCAAAAATAAATATAAATAAATAAATATTAAAAAAAAATTGCTGAGTAGTATTCCTCAGCTGGCTCATGGTTCTTATGCTTCCTTTTTCCTCTTGGCATCAAGTCTGCTTTCTGTGTTGGCACATATTCATCTACCTTGTTCTTTTTTTTAAATAAATTTATTTATTTTTTATTTATTTATTTTTGGCTGTGTTGGGTCTTCATTGCTGTGTGCGGGCTTTCTCTAGTTGTGACGAGTGGGGCTACTCTTTGTTGCGGTGCACGGGCTTCTCAACCGTGGTGGCTTCTCGTTGTGGAGCACGGGCTCTAGGTGCACGGGCTTCAGTAGTTGTGGTGCGCGGGCTCTAGAGCACAGGCTCAGTAGTTGTGGCACATGGGCTTAGTTGCTCTGTGGCATGTGGAATCTTCCTGGACCAGGGATCAAACCCATGTCCCCTGCATTGGCAGGCAGATTCTTAACCCCTGTGCCACCAGGGAAGTCCCTACCTTTTTCTTTTTCACTGCTGCCTAGTGTTCCATATGTAGTGTAATTTAAGTTGTTTTAAATTTTTTACTGTTATAGTCAATGTTTTACTGAACATTCTTGTACTTGCCTCTGCATATCTGGGACTGTTTCCCTAGGATAGATACCTAGAAATGGAATTGCTGATTTGAAGAGTGCACACATACTAAATTATAGTAGATCCTGCAGACTGCCCTCAAAAAAAGGATTGTATCAGTTTACACCTGCCCCATAGTGCTTGATAGTATTTCCCCACACCTTTGCCAAGGTTGAATCTTTTAAGATTATTTTCTAGAGAGGCAAAAAATGACAACATGTTATAAGATGTATTTCCATGATTGTGATATTGAGCATATTTTTTCATGTTTATTGGCTCTCTGTGTATATTGTGTGAATTACTTATGAATATCATTTACCCATTTTTCTGTCATTCGTTTGTTTTCTTAAATGTTTTAGTAACAGCTTTATTTGAGATATAAATCACATACCGTACAGTTTACCCACTTAAGGTGTACAATTCACTGGTTTTTAGTGTATCTAGAATTGTGCAACCATCACCACAGTCATTTAGAACATTTTCATCACTCCAAGAATTCTTACTAATTTTTCAGTCTTTTAGTATATCCTGTCTTGTAATCATTGTCTGATTTTTATGTTTTAGATTTTCTGTCACTTTTTTACTTTATCATCTTATTTTTTTAGCAGAATTCTATTTATTTAGTTATTTTGGCTGCACAGTGTGCCTTGCAGGATCTTAGTTCCCCAACCAGGCATTGGACCCAGGCCCTCGGCCGTGAAAGCGTGGAGTCCTAACCACTGGACTACCAGGGAATTCCCCAGAATTTTATTTTATTATTAATTTTTAAAATATTTATTTATTTGGCTGCATCGGGTCTTAGTTGCGGCACACAGGATCTTCGTTGTGGGCGTGGACTTCTCTCTAGTTCAGGCTCACGGGCTCTAGAGCGCACGGCCTTAGTTGCCCCGCGGTATTTGGGATCTTAGTTCCCCGACCAGGGATCGAACCTGCGTCCCCTGCATCGGAAGGCGGATTCTTGACCATTGGACCACCAGGGAGGTCCCTCCCAAGAATTTTAAATATGTATTTGTTGTCAGGTTTAACTATTTTTTCCTCTATATGGCTTTTGTCTTGCATAAGGGCTTCCCTGCTCCAAGGATCAGAATATAGTCTTTAATTTCTGCCAACACTTCACTTTGTTTAATCCATTTAAAACTTATTCTGGTGTGAGGAAGAGATCCAAATTTATTTATTTTTCCAAATAGATGGACAATTGGCTCAACTGCCTTTATTGAATAGGCCATTCTTTGTCATATCTTAAATTCTCTTATAGACTAGGGTCTATTTCTTGACATTCTAGTATATTTCATTGACATATTTGTCTTTTCTTGTACCAGTACTTTACTGTTTTAATTACTATACCTTTATAGTATGTTTGATATCTTGTTAGGGAAGTGTTCCCTTAGTTGTTTTAGTTTTCAAAA